CATTGGGAAAGCACAATAGCATTAGAATATACCAAAGCAATAAAGAAAGAAACCAGTTGTAGAAATATAGGAAAATCGACAACCTCAAAAATGGAAAACATCAATATTCCTAATACAGAATTTATGAGAACAACAATAACAAAAGCAATATTCATAAAAGAAACACTAAAATACATCCAGGAAAGAGTGGGATCACAAACTGAAAAGCGTGTGAAGCAATTACAAAACACATGAAAAATCACATATCCAAACTATTTCGCTTCGCACAATAAATAAGACACATTTTTTAAAAAGTATAAACTAAGTTCGTGCCACTACTGTAAAGTAAACGCCTTTGAAAGGAGAGACGCGACGTTACTTTTGCACCATAAGAGAGTGACACTTGTAATCTTGAGACGAGCCTAGAGGGAAGGATGGTCAAGAAGAGATTAGCAAGTACGCGAAAGTTGGCCAAATTGTAACCGCCTCAGAATTAAAGCCTTACCTTATTTTAGTGCCATAATCCAAGCGTTTGGATTATCGTCACGTGAAGAGTGCACCGTTTTAGCGACAGACTTGCCGGTGACGACAACAATGTATTAAAAAATAACCTTCAGTTCATTGTTTGCCACCTGCTTTGGATCCCTCTTCTTCATTCTTCTCACATCATTGCCTGTCTTGAATAGGCTCAGAATATGTTCATAATAGTTGGATAATACTATTTTCTCAGATGAAACAACTTTCCAAATGTTTCAGAATATCCAGTTAGTGAGACATTATCATGGAAGCCCATGACTACACCATAGCATAATAAAACATTCCTACAAAGTTCATGCTTGGGATGCATTTTCTTTGTAGAAATTAATTTCATTGTTTCTTTTTACAGAAAACCTAAATGCATGAAAATACTGTCAAATTCTAGAAACTTGCCTGTTTTCTCACATCTCTTGAATGAAATATAGGCCACGTTTTCAACAAGATAATTTTCTGGTCTATACAGCAGGCATCACACAAGATCTTTTTGAGACCCACAGAATTCAAAGTCTTAATTGGCCCTCATATTTGCTGGATTTGAATCCAATCGAAAACCTGTAGGTGATACTTAAAGGTAGGGTCAAGAAAAAAGTAAATGTTAAGCTAATGAGCTTTCAAAAAGTGAGTTTCAATCGATAATTTATCAAGAATGGGAGGCTTTAGATTCAAGCATCTTTCATAGGTTGGCGATGAGTATGAAAAACTGATTTTTAAAAATGATTAAATACGAAGGAAAAAAAATCAATTATTAAGCTTTTTGTATATGACTAATCATTATATTAAATAATGTATATATGAAATTTAAGCTATTAGTATAAATAAATTAAAAAATTTTCCTTATAGGAAAAAATTTCAGATCTTTATGTCGACCACTGTATATCTCTAGATTTGATAACTTAAATCAACTAAATTTTCTTGAAATGTCTACTAGAAGATTCTGAAGTTATGTTTCATTTGATATTTATGCATTTAAATTTGATGACTTGTATTAACCAAGGACAACAGTTTTTAAAACATTTATTAGAAATTATATAAATATATTGAAAGTTTTCTGTAGTTACAGTAGGTGACAAAAAGATCCAGACTTTTAATTTATTGTACAAAACACGTTATTTTTTTTATTATTTACCATTATATTTGTAAACTTTTTTTATGTTGTTACAACACATAACTGTATAATTAAAATTATATAAATAAAAAGTTTTTTTTTTTATTAATTTAATACTAGTCATAAAAAATGCCTTCTAAAATCAATCCTGCTACACAAAGAATAATCGTAAGCCAACTTTGATTTAATAACATTAAGAAACCTGTCGAAATTATATGAATAACCAGTTTTCCCAAGTCTATGATATATGATCTTATAAGTAGACTTAAAAAAAATGGCACCCTTATCTCTTGCTCTATTCCTGGGAGACCAAAAATCCTTGATGCTCAAAAACGATATTATCTTAAGCAACTTATAAAAAACAATAATTCGATTACTGCTACAGAAATACTTATCAAACTTAATAAAAACTATCCCAACTTAAATATAACAAAGTACACTATCCAACATACTTTTAAAAATTATCTTCAATATGTAGTTTGTCAGCCATGACAGATTCCTCTTCTTCGTCATGTTCATATCAACAAACATCTTGAATAGACCTTAAATCATACAAATAATACTTGGTCCACCACTATTTTTTTTGACGAAACAACTTTTTAGATGTTTTATAATACTCAACTAGTCTGACATTGTTATACAAATCCACGTCCATGCTGAAGTATGGTTAAACACCCTTACAAAATTCATACTTGAGGTGCATTTACGATACAAGAACCAATTTCTTTAGTTTTATTCACAGATAATCTAAATTCTAAAAGATATTGTGAAATTCTCAAGGCCAACCTTTTTTCAAACATAAATAACAGGTTACACTTTCAACAAGACAATTTACCAGTTCATACAGCTCAAATTACACAAGATCTTCTTGAAACTCACAATATTGAAATGATCAATTGACCCTCTAATTCGCCTGACCTAAATCCAATCGAGAATTTGTGAGCTATAATGAAAAGAAATGTCGAAAAAAGTATTGGAATCTGGATAATGAAAAAAAAAAACTTACAGTTGATGAATTTAAAACAATAATTGAAAAAGAATAAGAGGATTTGGATTGCAATCTTTATCTTACATTGTCAATAGTATGAAAAATCGTATTGATGAGGTCATTTCGCAAAAAGGGCAAAAAATAAATTACTAAAATTTATGTATTTACATTTTTACTATATTTAAAATTGTTTTTATAAAAATTTTTTTAAATAAATAAAATTAAAAAAAAAATTTTTATATAATAAAAAAAA